ATTTTGTTTTCTTTATATTGAGATGTAATCCATACTGCAGACTATATTCTTCAATCTTCATCAGTAAAATGGCTTCAAGTCATCTCACTTTCAGCAAGCAAAGTTGTGTTGTCAGCATATCACAGGTTGTTAATGATTCTTTCTCCAATCCTAATGCCACGTTCTTTTTCATATAGTCCATCTTCTCGGATTATTTGCTCAGCATACAGATTGAATAAGTATAGTGAAAGGATACAACCCTGACACACTCCCTTCTTGATTTTAAACCATGTAGTGTTCCCTTTTTCTGTTTGAACGACAGCCTCCTGGTCTATGTACGGGTTCCTCTTGAGTCAATTAAGTGTCCTAGAATTCCCATTCTTCTCAATGTTACCCATAATTTGTTATGATCCACACAATCAAATGCTTTTGCATAGTCAATAAAACACAAGTAAACATCATTCTGGTATTCTTTGCTTTGAGCCAAGATCCATCTTCCAGCAGCAATGATATCCCTCATTCCATGTTCTCTTCTAAATCCAGCTTGCATTTCTTGAAGTTCTCTGTCAGTATACTGCTGCAACCATTTTTAAATTATCTTCAGTAAGCTTTTATTTGTTTGCAATATTAATGATATTCAATAATTTCCACATTGTGTGGGATCACCTTTCTTTGGAATGGGTACAAATATGGATCTCTTCCAGTCAGTTGGCCAGGTAGCTGTCTTCCAAATCTCTTGGCATAACCAAGTGAGTGCCTCCAGCAGGACATCCATTTGTTGAAACATCCTCATGGGTATTCTGTCAATTCCTGGACCTTTGTTCTTCCCCAGTTCTTTCAGTGCAGCTTCGACTTCTTCCTTCAATACCATTGGTTCTTGATTATATGCCACTTCCTGAAGTGGATGAAGATCGACCAGTTCTTTTTGGTACAGTGACTCTGTGTATTCCTTCCATCTTCTTTTGATGCTTTCTGCATCATTCAATATTTCGCCCATAGAATCTTTCAATATTGCAACTTGAGGCTTAATTTTTTTCCTCAGTTGTTCTTTCAGCTTGAGAAATGTTGAGCGTTTTCTTCCCTTTTGATTTTCTAACTCCAGGTCTCTGCACATTTCATTATAGTAATTGGCTTTGTCTGCTCAACCTGCTCTTTGAAATTTTCTGTTCAGCTCTTTTATCTTGTCATTTCTTCCATTTGCTTTAGGTACTCTCCATTGAAGGGCAATTTTCCCAGTCTCTTCTGACATCCATTTTGGTCTTTTCTTCCTTTCTTGTCTTTTTAATGACCTTTTGCTTTCTTCATGGATGATGTTCTTGATGTCATCCCCACAATTCCTCTGGTTTTCTGTCATTGGTGTTTAATGCATCAAATCTATTCTTTAGATGGTCTCTAAATTTAGGAGTGATATCATCAAGGTCATATTTTGGTTCTTATGGACTTGTTTTAATTGTTGTCAACTTCAACTTGAACTTGCATATGAGCAGTGGATGATCTGTTCCACAATCAGCTTCTGGCCTTATTTTGGCTGAAGATACTGAGCTTTTCCATTGCCTTTTGACACAGATGTAATTGATCTGATTCCTGTGTACTCCATCTGGTGAAGTCCACGTGTATAGCTGCCATTTGTTTTGCTGAAAAAAGGTATTTGCAATGAATAAGTCATTGGTCTCACAAAAATCTGTCATGCCATTTCCAGCATTATTTCTGTCACCAAAGCCAAATTTTCCAACTACCAGTGATTCTTCTTTGTTCCCAACTTTTGCATTCCAATCTCTGGTGATAATTAACATATCTTGATTTCATGTTCGGTGAATTTCATACTGCAGAAGTTGATAAAAATCTTCAACCTCCTCATGTTTGGCTTTAGTGGTTGATGTGTAAATTTAAACAACAGTAGTATTAACTGGTCTTCTTGTAGGCATATGAGTATCATCCTGTCACTGACAGCATTGTGCTTCAGAACAGATCTTGAAACATCCTTTGTGATGGTGAATACCACACCATTCTTCAATTTGTCATTCCCGATATAGTAGATCATATAGTTGTCTGATTCAAAATGGCCAAAACTGGTCCATTTCAGCTCACTAATGCCTAGGATATCGATCTTTATGTGTTGCGTTTCATTTTTGACAACTTCCTATTTTCTTAGATTCATACTTTGTACATTCAGTGTTCCAATTATTAATAGATGTTTGCAGTTGTTTCTCCTCAATTTGAGTCATGCCACATCATTAAGTTGAAGTCCTGAAAGGTTTACTTAATCCATATCATTAAGGTTGGTTCTACTCTGTTGAGGCAGCTCTTTCCCTGTTGTATTGGGAGTGCCTCCCAACCTAAGGGGCTCATCATTTGGCACTGTATCAGACAGTGTTTCTGGGTTATTCATAAATTAATGTTGCCCAATAAAGTATCAGTCAGAGTTTCTCTGCTATTTATAAGGTTTTCCCTGGCCAGTTATTAAGAAGTGGATGTTTTTTTCCTTCTTCTGTCTCAGTCTGTAAGCTGCATTAAAACCTGTGTACCATGTGGAACCCTGCTGGCGTTTGAAACACTGGTGGCATAGCCTGCAGTCTCACAGCATCATGAAAGCCACCACAGTAAGACAAACTGATAGCCAAGTTCGTCTCCCTTCCAAAACCAAAACTCACTGCTGTCCAGTGGGATCTGACTCAAAGCCAACCCTCCTTGGGTTTCTGAGGCAGTATCACTATGGAGGTAGATTGTCCAACCTTCCTTCCAAGGAGTGGCTGGTGGGTTTGAACCTCCAGCCTTCTAGTTAGCTGTCAAGTGCCTTAGGCACCACACCATCAGAGGTCCCTCGTCTCCCTTAGCTGTTCGAAACCACTCTGACCTCCCCTTACCTGGATCCTGCTGTTGTCGGGCCCTGGCTTCCCCTCTTTCCTGCCTTTGGGTGGGGGCTGTCTGGCTCCCTCCCCTTACGTGGATCCTGTTGTCACCGTGTGTGTGTGTGTGTGTGTGTGTGTATGAGTTTGAGTATGTATATATGTTATACATCCATATACATACATATACACACACGCAGGGAGTGAATGATAAAGCAAATGGGTTAAAATGTAAACAGTCGTTGAACATGGATAAAAAGTATATGGGAATTCCTTGCACTGTTTTTGCAGCTTTTCTATACTTTTTTCAAAGCTTTGTAATTTATGTCAAAACAAAAAGTTATTTAGAAAAGAAAAGAAAGGAAGAAAGAATAAAGAGCCATGGGAACCCCAAGGAAGGAGCAACTACTTGCTTTTAGGAGCTAAGAAGGCTTTGTGCGGGAGGGCCTGCCCAGCTGTGCGAGAAGGGGATGGGCAAGCAGGGTAGAAGACTTAGAGCATGGGCTAAGCCATGGAGGAGAAAAAGGGCCTGGTCTATGAAACTTTGCTAACTTGTCTACTAATCCATCCAGAACACTCACTGAACACCCCTGCGTGTGAGAGGCTGTCCCAAGTTCAGGGTCTGTTGCTTGTAGTATCTGTCTGGGTCTTATCAAACAGGCAGCCACGGGCCCTCAGTATTGGGCACAATCACCCTGAAGATCTTCCACCACCAGGCTGTTCACTGGGTCTCCACCTCGTTTCCAGAGCAGCAGTGTTTAGCAATGCCAAATATGATTATGCCTTCTTGGCCCCTGCCAGCCCCCAGGAGAATGGCATCCAAATTTCTATCAGTTGGTTTCCAACAACATCCACGTGGTTTGCCACAGCCCCAAAGCCCTAGCTGTCCAGGACCACGGATGCCAAGACAAAGGTTTGCCCAGGCAACCTCTTACTGCTGCCTGAGCAAGTCAGAGGGCCCTGTCAACTGTTGGTGGCTCCTAAGTGTCAGTCTCATACTCAGAAAGTAGAAAAAGAGGTAGCTAGTTTAGAAGACTCCCTCAAGGGCAGGGAGCCTTCTACCATGGATTGTTCTCTGTCCCCTGGCCCACCTTCCTTTGGCTTAATGCCTTTTCATCTTTTGGGACTTAGCTGAGAGCCTACCTTCTCTGGAGAGCCTATGCTGAGCATCTCACCTTGCTGGGGGTGTGGGGTGCCCACCTATGTGTTCTCCTAGGCCTGTGCCCCCTCCATCATGGCATTCCCCCGTCATGGGTAAGAGTACATACTCTGGAGCTGGGTTGCCTGGTGTAAGTCCTAGCTCTGCACTTGCTAGCTCTGTGACCTTGGGCAAGCTATTTAACCATTCTACACCTCAATTTTTTTCATTTGCAATATGGGGGCCTAGTGCCTGAGGCATTTGACTGCTAACCAGAAGGCTGGTGGTTCAAACCCAACCAGCCACTCCTCAGAAGGAAGATTGGGCAATCTACTTCCGTAGTCATGCTGCCTTGGCAACCCAAGGAGGGGTCACTATGAGTCAGAGCCGACTCAACGGCACACAACAACAATCCTAAAGGGCTAGGTGAGTTAATGTTATTAAAACAGTGGTCCATAGGTAGCACTATAGATGTGTAAGCATTCCTACTGTGTTGTAGCTGTTTACTTGTCTGTCTCCCCTCACTGGACTGTGAGCCCAAGAGAGAAGGAGCTGGGTCCTGTTGATCCCTGGATCTCAGGGCTGGAAATAGTAGAGCTACTCAGCATGATTTGTCAGACGTACATATGAATGAGATGCACTTGGATACATGGGGCAGAATGCTAAGGTAAAAACAGCATTGGACTGGGAGTCTGGAGCTGTCCAGTTTGAATCCCAAGTTTGCAAGTAACTCTGAAGAACCTAGGACAACTAAGTCCTTTTCCTGCCTGAGCCTTAGTATCTTCCTCTATAAAGTGAAGCTGGAACCGAACACACTGCACACTGTGGAGGGCTGCCCACACATGAGCTCATGGGCCCCAAACTCACTTCCTGCCTGGGTCCATCTACCCCAGGCTCCAAGGATTACATTTTTTATGTTTCCTGCAATGGTATTCCCTACCTACCCAAGCGGTGGTTTCTTTGGGTGGCCCCAGGCCCGGGGCCTAAACCCCAGCACCATGGCCATCCCCAGATCCCCCACCATGCCGTTCCCTCACCTTGCGTCACCACCTTGCCAAAGACTGGCAGGGAGTCGAGCGTGGAGCAGTTCCAGCGCCGGTTCCGGAACTGGTACTGGCATTCCTCGATGGCGAGCTGGGCGCCACGGCGCACCGAGTCCATCACCTCTAGGTTCCGCTTGCACATCTGCACCTGCCTCTGGATCAGGCCTTTGAGCTTCTCACATGTTTCCTCCTCAGAGATACTCCCTACTGAGGACAGCTTGGCCAGGTACCTGGGGAGGTGATGGGAGGTGGAGTAAGATACAGGGCCGGCTTCAGGGCCCCGCCCCCTCCTCTTTCCATTCCCAGACGAGGCTCAGGCCCCAGCCCTGGCGTCTGGAAACGACTTGCCCCAGTGACTGCTCCTGGCTATTGACTTCTTTCGGGATCCAGTGACAGGCCCTTAGGCCTCCAGGCAGTCAGAGCAGGCAGCAGCCCTAAACATGGGCTCCCTCCTTGCCTGTGGAGGGGTGGGTAGTGGGGCAGGAGGGGTGTGGTAGCTCTGCACCACTGTCTGTCTCCTTGATGGAGTACCATATATCCCCTGGCACTTCCTGTAGAGAGGCACTCTTCCTTGGGGGCTGGGGCCACCATCTGCCCAGGGTGTCTGTCTTTCCCCACTTCAGGGGCCTTGGCGACTTTAGTCTACCCTCTGGCTGCCAATCCAGATCCTCACTGCCAGCTGTATCCTAGACTATTACATACAGGCTAGTGTCATTGCTGCAGCCCTCACGGGTAGGGTGATGAAGCCTGTGATGGGCTATGGGGTGGGACTGGACAGGGCATGGGGGTTGGGCCAGGGCTTTCAAAGACAAGGTTTGCCATGCTATCCCCTCTGCCTCTTGGGCTTCACAGGCTTAAAGTGGGGGCAACAATGCTTGCCCCACCTCACAGGTTTAATTTTGAAGGTCAGAATCCAAATGAGATAATTCACGTGAAGGTGCTGTATGACCAGGTGCATGTGGGGGAGAAGTTATAAATGCTTTGATTTGGGAGGAGGACAGGAGTGAGCACACTGTTTATTGAACACCTACTATGTGGCAGTCACTTTGTCTTGTTGCTTATCACAAGCTATCAGGTAATAATAATTCTACCCTTTTATAGATTCTGAAATAAAGGCTGAGAGTGGCATGCTCAAGGTGACAGAGATTGTGAGTGCTAGAGCTGAGCTTCTAACCCCTTGAGCCTTCCTCCTGCCTGTCTGCCTAGGCAGTGGATTTGAGGAGCCCAGGAAGGTCTGCCAATCTGGTAACATACACCTTGAGATCTGGGCCAGGAGGTAAGGGGGACTGGATCAAGATTGCAAAACTGCTCATTAGGATGGGAGCAGAGCTGGGAAAGACCCTGTCAGGGAGGAGCAGTACCTCTCTTGAGGGAAGCGAAGCCCCCATTAACTGAGCATCTACTAAGCATTAGCTACTTTTCTGAGATGTGATGTGCCTGGCTCCTTGTCTCTAGCCTGTAAGGGCAGCCCTGGATTGGAGCCCAGGTCCATATGGTCCCCTGGCTTAGGCTCTAAGCGCTGCCCCTAACCTCCTCCAGTGTCCCTGGCCAGGGCCAAATGCTCATTGAAGATGCAGACAAAAGGAATACAGTGGTGGGAGGAAAGCTGAGTGGTGCCCCTGGAAGGCCTCCTCTCCATCCCCCGTTTCCTTCTCCATGGAAAGCCGAGTGCAGAGAATGACAGACTTTGGAAGTGTACCCTGGCAGTGCTCTGGTCCAAACTCCTCATTTTACACGTGAGCATGCTGAGGCCTAGAGAGGGAATAGGACTCAGTTTCTTCATCAGCAGCACGGGAAAGATAGCACTGATTCTGTCAAGGAGCTATTGTCAGAAGCCAAAGGGACCCTGTGGGTAAAAGATGGACTGACATAGGCCCTGAGACCATGAGGCAGGAATTCGGCATTTGTTTGCTGAATGAAGCAATGAATGAATGATGACTGAATGGAAAAGTACATAGAAAGTGCTCTTAAAACAGGAGAAATTTTTATGACCAGCTAAATTTAATTAGAGCAGCTAAATTTTATGGAACTTGGCTAGGACTAGGCTAGGTGTACTTCACTTACATTATTGTTTAATCTTCTCAGCTAAACAATGAAACTCCATTTCACAGAGGAGAAAACTGAGGCACAGCCAAGTTAAGGAATTGGCCTGTGTGCAAGGTCACACAGTAAGGGGTGGAGACAGGACTTGAACCTAGGTTGTGCCTGACTTCACAGCCTTTGATGGAGACAGTAGTCTTTTAAGCAGCTCAAGAACTAGAATTGGGACCAAGGAGTAGAAGCTGCTGGGGTCTGGGTTGGTTCACCCTAAGGACATGGGCTGGAGTGGCTCCCTGGAGAGCTGCCAAGTTCCCCACCCCTGGAGGTGTGCAGGCATTTGTCAGGCATTTGGGTTGGATCAGAGCAATGGTTCTCAAATCTCACTGTGCATCAGAAGCATTTGTGGCATTTGTTGAAAACACAGGTGCCTGGGCTGCACCTGGGTTTTTAACATCCTCCCTAAGTATGGTTGCACGGCCAAGCTGACATTGGCCTGGAGAGCAGTTAGGGATTGCTCTGGTAAACTCTGGTGAGGTTTCCTCACCACTGAATAGGATACCACTCTCCTCACCACTGAATAGGAACCTTGAGACATTTCCTTGGCCCTGATTGGCTGGTCTGTCTGTCTGTCCTCATCTTGTCTGTGGAGATAATCTTGGGGAGGGCTGCTGTGAAAAATGAACACATCTGGCCCTCAGTGGGCACACTTGGGGGACTTGGTGAGGTGAAGGTCTCTCCCTTTCCTAGCAGCATGAGTGAGTGGGCGGTGGGAAGCAGCCTGACTCCCCCCACCCCCCTGCATTCCTTGTCTCCTGGGCCTTCTCCGTCCTCTCCACCAGGCCCTGTCCACAGGATGCAGAGACTGGCAGTATCTTGAAAGGGCCCAGGCTGGTGACAGAGCCTCTCAGAAGGGAGATGAGGGTGGAAAATGACTGAGGGGCCAAGGGACAGTGCATCTGAAAAGGAACGAGGCTGTCCAGGCCCCTCAGCACCCTGCCTGGGTGCTCCCTCTTCCTGAGCCAGCTGTGAGAAGGGGTCTCCTAGGGAGCTAGTCCCACCTGCCACTCTTGGCCTGCAGGGGGCGCCAAGAGCCCAGCTACTGGCGATGGGCCAGGTCCACATTTGGGAGGTCATGGGTGTAGATGAGTGAGGGGACAGGAATTGCACCTGAAGCTGGATCCTACTCGGCTCAGACCCAGACTTGGCCTTTCAGAGGGGGCAGGGCCCTGTCCCCTCTGTGACATGGGGCTACAGAGCAGGCCTCTCCTTAACTCAGCCTCTGTTCCCTCTCTATCCAGTCAAGATGGTCAGGTTGGGCTGTAATGAGCCCTAGCCTCTGGTGACAGGGGTGACAGCAGGACTTCTTCTGGAAGGGAGAAGTAGACTGTGCAACCTTGGGCAAGTCCTCACACCATTCAGGGTCTGTCTCCCCATGGGTATAATGGATTACTGGGTCTGTCCAGCCTTGACCTTTCCTGCTGTCAGAGCTGACAGTCCTCCTTCCATACTCTGGGAAAGGGGGTCCAGGCTGAGAGATGGCAACTTGTCACTGAGCAAGGAATGAGCTGCCCACCCTCTCTGCCCTAGGCTCAGAATTCCACGAGGGGAGCCAGGCTGAAATGACAGTAGCAGGGATTTAGGGGTGAGTGTTGGGCTGCCACGGCCGTGAGTCACTGGGACAGCTTCCAGGAAGAAGCTGAGAAACCTCTTCCGCTGAGGAGCCTCCCTGCCCCCATGCCTGGCACCAGTGCCCACCACCCCCAGCCCCTGCCTTCATCTGGCATGACAGCTGTCCCCTTCCACGCCACATGAGGCACAGCCCTACCCCCAACCTGCTCTCCCCTATTCACAGGTCTTGCCTGTGAAGGACTAGGTGCTAAAGTAGGGAATGGAGGGTGGAGAGAAGTAGGACCCCAGGCCTCACAGGCTGTTGCCTGCACTGTTTCAGCTTGCTGTTCTGGCATCCATTTAGGGTGCCTGATCTCATTTTATAGGTGAGCAAATTGAGGCCCAGAGAGGTAAAGTGGTTTGCCCAGAGTCACACAGCTAGAGAGTGGCAAAGGTGGAATGCAAACCCAGTTCTGTGTATTTCTCAACTCTTCCACTGTGCCCAGCTGTGGCTTTGCCCTGTTTGACGGCTGAGAGGGGCCAACACCACCTGTGTCATGTCCCTCAGCCTCCTTGGTGCCTAGCACAGGGTGTGGCACACAGGAGGTATTCAATAACTCCTTACAGCATGAATGGAGGGCTTGTCCCCTCCTCTGCTCACTTCTTGGCAGAGCATACAAGGCAAGGAAAGCAGGGGCTGCTTATGGAGCCCATTCCTGCTCCTTACCTTTCAGCTGCCAAGGGCTTGGAGACCCTTTGGGGCTAGGTTCCACTGGTCCTCCCTGGACCCTGAGATGTCTTAGTCTTTTCCTCAGAGACATACATGCCACTTGCTGGCACTGGGTCGGGCTCAACTATCGGCTGCACCAGCCATTTCTAGGGGAGATAGTGCCTGAGCGTGAGTGGAGGCAGCCGCAGATGGGTTGGGCTGGCCTGGGAGGGCTTCAACCATCCCTGCTTCTTCTCTGGTTCTGGTTGCATTGCCCTACTTTAGACTTCTTCCTGCCACTGGTGAGCAGTATGCCACCTGCCCAGGCCTTTTGCCATGGCTGTGCCATTGATTGGGTTACCCCAACAGCCCAGGCAGCCCCTGCACCGGAGCCTCTATATGGGGGATTGCAGGTCCTTGAGGCCCCTCCCAGGAGGCCCTCCCTGCACCCGGCCCGTGCCTGCAGCCTCAAGGCTTGAGGGCCCTGCCAGGGAGATCAGATCCTCTCGGCCACCTGCTGTTTTCATAAGAAACTAAAATTAGCTGGGCTTGTCCCAAGCTTTTCCAGGTTTGCTTGCTTTTTAAAAAAAATATACAAATTCCTAGAGGAAAACCTGCACCTCTCTGACTCCTCCCTGGCTCTTGCTCTGTGCGTCCAGAGGAGAGGGGACGGGAAATAGCTGGAACGTTTGGGAGGCCAAGCAGATCAGTGTCGCGAATCCTGGCCCGCGGGTGTCCAGGTGGGGGCTGGGACACCGGCCCAGGCCTCTCTGCCCCCTCCCTTTGGCCTCCCTGCCTGCCTGGGCCACATTTAGAGCCTCCTCAGGAGCGGTCGTGCCTGCGATACCAGGGTGGAAGGAGGCCAAGCAGGCG